TATATATATATATAGAAAGAATTATTTCAAAGTAGTGCTGATAAATCCATGTCTGCACTGACTGCTAGAGTCACAAATAAAACAATCTCTCTTTGCAGGGTAGGAAAACCACAATGATTCAGCTGTGAGAAGTGAGCAGATAGCATTAAGTCAATAGATAATGAATTCTGGACAAGTGACAGATGGATGTCTTTACCTTCAAGAAATCTTAGACAGAATACTTTAAAAGTTCAGGTAGATTGGCTCTCTGTTCCACATCAGGAGTTTCTACCCAAGCAAGTGTTGTCTTTCAGTTATCATAACACAAAAAAACTTACACACATGGTTAATACTATAAAGTTGCTTGAACATAGGTATTCTCCAGTATTTAATTATTTTCTGCTAAAATGTCTACCATTCTTCATTTACTCTTCTGAGTTATCTCTAATGCTTATTATGAAAGGCATGCTGTTTTTAAAAGGATTAAATTTGAAGCAGTCCTTCCTTTCTTCCTGCCCAAGGTTCTCAAAAGTGGATGGCCTTTATGTTGGATGTAGAGCACTGCTAATATTTTAAGTACTGGAAACAGTAAATAAAAGTAGGGAAAAGCAGAGGTGTATCCATAACAAGCAATCTGCAGTGCATTGTCGGGCTTTATGCTCAGGATGAGATCTGTCTGAACTTAGGTGTAATATTAAAAATTTTTTTTTGTTTTCTCTATGTTTAATTTCACTGCATGTTGCAGTTGAAAGAATTTAAATGCAAGCACACATTTCTAGTGGCACTACTTAATACACTTTGTGAAATCCTCCTTCCAACTTTTGTGCAACAGAAAAATCATATCTGAGAAACATTGATTTATAGTCACCAGTGGAACTGAAGTACAGAAAACTGAACAAGAAAAATAATGTAACTTTTTTTCTGTTGCATTTTAATGACTCCTAGAGGGTGAACTTTTCTGAGATCTTCTGCATCTTTTTGCCGATAATTTTCAACTTAGAGCAATTTTTTTATTTCAGTGATACAGCTGAAACTTTCTTAAGAACTACAAAAGAAAAAAAATCCCCCAAACCTTCAAAGGTAATGTACTGCAGAACAGGATGCTTAAGAAGCAATTAATTACTTGCACAATACCTTTTTATTCTTCTATTTGTCATTCAAATCCTTTAGAGAGAAAGCAGTCCTCATGCCTTTACTGAGTTGCAGCCCTGGTTTGGTCAGTTTCCATGGTCTGGAGAAAGGATGTTCATGTGTTACTTGACCTTTTTCCTGAGTTGTAAAAACTGGAGACAGACTTCAAAGTGAAGTTATAACCCCACAAAAAAAATGACAAGCTTATGCATCTGAATGTAGTTCTCAGTGAATTGATCCTGGAAACATTCTATTAAAAAAAAAAGGCTGAAAATTTCTTTTTAAGGACAGGAGAACAGTTAGATAAGCATGTAAAAGTTAACTGCCATTTCTTAAATACATCTAGGTCTGGTAGAGTTTCGGTGTCTGTTTTTATTAATGATCAGTTTCATTAAAGCAACAGCAGATGGGGTAAAAAATTTGAAGTTAATGAGGGATGAATTAAGTATTCAGAAGGGAGCTGAATATAGTAGCAATAGATAGACTATTTTCACCTAAGATTTAGTAAGATATTTTGTTGAATTTCAGCATTGTTAGCATTTTAAAGGTATTTTTAAGAGGTACTTTAAAAGAGTACTTCCCTGATAAAAATCAAATCATCAGGAGGTTTTTTCCCCTTGTTTTCAGTAGATATATTAGTAAGATTAAGCTTATCTTTGGAAAAATAAGAATCTGAACACTACTATACAGAGAGGTATTCTGTGATTGTGAAATCATTCTGTCAGACTGCAGCTTCTTTTGTTCCCCAACAAATAGTCGGTTATTGAATGAGTGTTAAAGAAAGCAAAAAGACCTATTTAACATCACAATATGCAGAGTTTGAAAAATGAAGTTGTCTTTTCCTAGAAAACAAGTTCTTTCTTAAAGGGTAAGCATGTCCAAAATGCATTTTAGCAATGTTCATTACCTATGAAATACATTGTAATAATTTTCTACCCACAAAAGTTAAAGATTGTAATGAGCAATAATGACTTGGAAAGGTAAGTTCTGGTGTTTTACCAAGTCTGCTGGGCAAATTTAAAATGTCTTTTAGAGGATATCTGCATCAAACTAATTTTTCTAGGTAAGCTAGTTATTATGCGACACAGTACTATGTTTTAGAATTTAATTTTCTTTTTATCCTTCCCCGCTTTAAATAAAATTTGCAGTTGGTGGGCAGAAGTTGTATGTGAGACTTTTTCAACGCAAGCTGAACTGGTTAAAGGTGAACAAAATAGAGTATGGAGAGATAAGTATGGATTTGTCACCAATAATTGAAGAACTGGCTGAAGCCAGATTTCTGCAAACAGGTATGGCCAGCATTAATAAATGTTAAAAATATTACAACTAAGATCTGCAGTTGTGTCATGTTAGAGTTTAATGCACTACATGCTTGTCTGTGACTTGAGAAGAGAATTAGAGGAGCAGAATAAGGGTTTTGGGTAGATGAGTTGTGTTGTGTCACTTTAATAATAAAAGCAGTTAGTGCAAATTAGGTAGTAGGGAGAGCTAAATAAATGTCAGGGCTATAGGTGCAACAGTAGGCCTCACTTGCCCTCACCAGCCTCATCTCAGACCCTCACCAGCACAGCCTCTGCACATTGGTCCAGGAGCTCTGCTTAATAGCCTTTGGTACTGCCCTGAGCTGTCTTACAGGCACCCTGTCCCTGGCCTTGTCCATCCCTGGCTGGCTGGACCTCCAACCAATGCTGCAGGTGTTTGTTTCCAGTTTTGGAAATGTACTGTGGGTGGATTTCAGATGTAAACTGTAGTCATGTCTCTAGTCTTACGTCTGACCCATCTCTTAGATCGACCGTGGACCTGATTTATTGTCATGCCTTTTCTGGGTCTGCTAGTGGAATCTGTTATCAGGACTTTTGCTCTGCCCATCCTTTTAATTTACAGTGGGACTGCACCAGGGTTGGTGAGGACACTGCCAGTGCTGTGGTCACTCTTGGCTCCTGGCTCATTCCCCATTGCTGAGCAGCTCTGCTCTTGCTGCTCCCTGGCAGCACTTTTTTTTGCATAGGGCAAAGGTTTAATCATCAGGAAGACAAGTTTTTCTGAACAGCATTTTTTTGTAACTCAGCAGAATTACTTTACATTTGCTTTTGTTTTGGAGTTGCAAAGGGATTTTTATTCTGATTATTCCATTCCTTCAAACTGGACCTGTGAAGACAATGAATTTCAAGCTGAACCAGCTAGCATCGATAATACATGTTTGAAGAATCTAAATCATTAGATTAATACTAGGTTATATGAATGTACTATACTTTGAGCTGTTGCTTGATTGTATATGTATAGCACATAATGAATATATGTGAATTATTTACTTTTAGAATCTGAACTGGAAGACCTGTGTGAAGGGTTGGATTTGCTTTCAGTCCCTGAGCTAAAAACGTTGGCAAAGATCTTTCACTTGCCAAACCCAAATGGTCAGAAACAGCAACTTGTGGATGATTTTCTGAGGTTGGCAAAACAACGTTCAGTCTTCAGCAAGAGTCAGGCTGGTATTGGGACAGTGATTTTAAAAAGGTAACTCTGTTTATGGTTAAATTTTGCAGGTGAATGTAAGTTACGCTTCAAAGGACTCAGTCTAGATGCCTTTTGAAGAGGGGAATGCATTTAGTAAATTTATGAATAAAAAAGCAGCATTAAATTTTGATTCACAGTGGGTGAAACAGAAGGGTAAATATTAGACGACGACTTTAAACTTTGTCATACTTTTCAGCTGTGGACATGATTATCTATCTCCAAAGTTACTCAGTTATACAGAGAAACATTTCTGAATTATTTAAAGCAAAATCAGTGCAGAAAAACATCTAGGAAGACATAGAGAAAGTCATTGCCTATTAAAGCAACTATCTGATGTTCGTTTGCTGGGTGAGCTCTCTAGTAGCATTAGAGGGGAACAGTAATCTCGTCTACGATTGACTTTGTACATAGAGCATAGAGCCTCCTTTTCAGCAATATTTTTAAAGGGAAAAGATTGTTTGTTTGGCAAAGTGTTCCTTTCTTTCCTGTGAATTTTTTCACTGTGGCTATCACAGCTGTGCGTATCAGATGCTCTTGATTTCCAGGTCTTCTGGGGTCCAGATTCAGGTTTAAGGTGTCATTCTGCCCTAATAGGAGTGATTACAGCATTACTATCCTTTCGTGTTTAGGGCTGGATCTGTAGCTAGAACATCCACAAGAAGTCTAGGAATATGAGCTAAAGTAATAGCCAGGGTACTGGTGCTAGGGTACAAGTCAGTTCTGCAGTTTATAAGCTGTCTTACGCAGTTACCTCTCTTAGTAACTAATACCAAAAAGTAACTGTTTGAATAATAATGCGTATAAACAAAGGTTGCTTGTCTAGCAGGTAGCTTGGCTAGTTGGCTGGAGAACTACGGTCTGAACTTAGTAATTGTGCAATCCTTTCTGTACAAAATGCAGGCTGTGTAGAAAGCTGACAGATATCAGTATGTACTGCATTTGCTTCAATAACATAATTTGTCTTTCCTGTGGTATTCTTTTTCAAATGAGCAAGCTATACAGCTTTGTCAAGTTTTGCATAGCTATGTTTATTGGACAAATATTCCCCCCCGAAATCTGTCATGGGATTCTCCACAAAATTCCTTGTATTAAAAGGGGCCTAGTATTGGAAGATGAACTTTAAAATCATCCCTCCATGAAGAAGTATTATTACGTGAATCAGTAAGGTCTTCTTTCCTTATGCCAAAAGAGAGGCCTAATGCTTGCTTAGTGCCAGGCTTGCAGAGCTTCACAACTGGGAGGTTTGCATAGTATGGTTAGCTTCTTTAAAGTAGTTTTATTTGGTCTTTGTTGTTTTCAAGATAAAACAGGAGCTCTAGTGGTTCCCATTCTGTTAAAAATAGTTTTTCACACTGGTGTCATTGTCTCCAGCAGCATTGCACTTCATTTGGTCTGCAGGAAAACAGGTGAAGTGGTCATAGCCACAGCCATGACTGTTTTGTGTTAGAGGATTTTGGAACTTTGTGAGAAGCAAGGATTTTTTAATTTAAGGAGTTGCAGTTGTTTCCTCATTCTAATCCAGGTATAGAAAACTTCAGTATGAAAATACTTTGTATCACTTGAGATTTCCTCTTTTCGTTTTGATACTAGATACTTGAATTACATGAGGATGCATGATGCATAATTTGTATAAATATCTCTAACAGAAACAAAATTGTTTTCAGAGCGTTGGCTTAAACTATACAAAGGAAGGCTAGAAAAAAATGTCTTCAGGAAATGGAAAGGACCCTGGGAACATTAGTTACATTCCAAAGAAGTCCTTGGCGCTGGCTTCCTCCTTACTCCAAGAAAAGAGGCTGATAGTTACTTGCTCAGCCACATCAACTTTGGGAAAGTAATGCTTTTTGCTGTAGTTGACAGCTGAAATACTAGTTACCCCATGAGATGAGAGGAAATCTTGTTTTAAATCTGTGCTGTCCTGTGGACAAGTAACAGAAATCTCGTCTTGTATGAAAAGGGCTGGATGAAGATGTGCTAATGGAGATAGCCTAAAACAAGGGATCTCAAATTGTGGCCTGTAAACATTGCCCTAACAGTAAACTACATCTTGTTGCTTGTTGGTATTGCCTGGCATAGCAACAGGGGTGGCTGCACCCAAAGGACAGTTAGTTCTAATTCTATTCTGCTTGAAGTTTGGCCCTTAAACTTTTTATTAGTTAACGCGTTTCTTTGGCATTTCACTAGACGTTACATGCATTAAATAGTTTCTCAAGCTGCTTCTTTCAAGGAAAATCAAGTTTACACATTAATTGGCTTGAAAACAAGTAGTATTATTATAGAATCATAGAATCGTTTAGGTTGGAAGAGGCCTTTAAGATGATCCAGTCCAACCATTAACCTAACATTACCAAGTCCACCACTAAACCAATTAAGGGTAGAGTAGCAATTTCATGTTTCCTGGCTTCTCATACTTCATTCTGTATATTTGAATTTTTATAAATGATGGTAAAACCCATTTGTTATAATCAGTTTATTTGTCCTTCCAGGGTGAAGGACCTGGCTGGAAAATCTGTCAGGGTCTGTAAAGGCCCTCGGGCTGTCTTTTCTCGAATTCTGCTGCTATTTTCACTGTCTGAGTCAATGGAAGATGAAGAAGCTGCTAGTGCTGGTCAAGGCCAGCTCTCCACAGTCCTTATGGTAAACATGGGGCGTATGGTATTCCCCAGTTACACTGTAAATAGGAAAACACAGATCTTTCAGGACAGAGAAGATCTCATCAGGTAGGAGGAGCTTTGGCAGTTTGGGAATCTGATTATTTCTAGAAAAGCTTTACTGCAGTACTTGTGTAGGCAAATAAGAATTTGGCATGTAGAACTCCAGATGTAAATAGTAGAAGTGCACTTTTGCAATGATTTTAAATGCACTTTTGTATCCAGGTCGGACTTGTAATTCATAGTGGCTTGCCTTTTGAACCAAAATAGCATATTTATTTGCTTCATGATCATCTGATGATGACAGTTGTTTCTTCACTTGCTGTGATGATTATTAGAATACTCTGAACAAAACAAAAAATACATTCTCTAGTTTATAACTAAATTTAAACATAATGTAACCTGCTAGTATAAACTCTGCTGATCCTACAAGATTAAGAATAAAGTTGGCTGCATGGTTCAATGTCTTTGGAGACTGGAAGAGAGTTTTTTAGAAGGCATTATATGGAGGAATTGATTTCTTTTAACTATAAAAGCTTTTTGAGCCTAATACAGTTATTACGGTTTTTTCCCTTAGGTATGCAACTGCTGCTCATCTGTCAAATGATATAGCCACTGCAATGGTAAATGGGAACTGGGAAGAAGCTAATCATCTATATATGTGTGCTAAAGAAACCTGGAACGAACTGAAAAATCACCCCTCTTTGAGGTAGTAAGCTGGAAACTAGCCTAGTGTTCATATGAAACTATTGAGCGTATTATCTTACATTTGGTACTTTTCCTTTTGAGAGAGGCTTATAGACTAATAATAGACGTAATGATATTAAGCCTGATAAATTTAGAAGATTTAATGTTCTTGAAAGCTTTGAACTTCCTAGTTGCTTAGCTTTTAAGTGATTATATGAAAAAGCCTTTTTTATAAAACCTTGGGAATGAATTGGTAGGCATGGATGAAGTGCTGAAACATTTTTGTTCTATGTGCCAGTGCAGGAGAACAAGAGCCCTTGTCATAGTTTGTTTTTATGGCTTTCAGACAAATAGCAATAAGCAGAATTTAAAATTCACTGTGAACAAAAGAATGTTGCAGGCATTATGGGAAAACATGCTGGGTTATTTATCTCTTCAAACTTCCAAGAGGGTGTCATTCAGGAAACATTACTAAAGATCTGAGAACTGAAATAATGTATGTTGTTTTTGAAGCATTCTTCATCAGTTTTTCTTTCAATTATTTTGTTTTGTGGCTTAACGCTACACCGAAAGTTAAAACCTTATGTTTGGCATTATGTTCATTTTCATGGCAACTGATGTAAAATAATATTCATAGAGGGTCATTTGGAGGTCTATTCCATTTCACACTGAAGACAGTGGAAAAACCTATTTTGATTTCAATAAGACATTCAAAAGTCTTTGTCTTGAAACATAGAGGTGCCTACCCAAAAGCTGTTAGTCTTCTTTTATGGCAGGAAATGCCTGTTCTAGCCTTTTTCTTTTGTTCAGCTCTGTTTCTGAAGTTAGCCTTCTGACTTACGAGAACAAGTTGGCAGTAACAAAACATGATGTAATAAATTATTGTTTTGCATCTGATGTAAAAGTTATTAACAAGTAATTCCGGTGCTGTTGAAACCAAAATAGCGGGTGCAAGAGCACCTGCTACCTCAGCTAAACTATTTTCTTACCTTTGGGATCTTGACTTTGCAGCTGGGATACTCATTTCAGTTCAATTTTGATATATAAGGCATTTAATTTTTGCAAATGCTTTAGGTATAAGTATTCTTAGTAAGAGAATTTTAAAAATATAAATTGCCATTATTTAATTGATCTGAGCTGCTCTTACCTTCCAGCTATCACAGAGTTTTACCTGTGTATCTGCGACATTTCACATTTGGCTGGGTGTATACAAGAATCCTTTCTCAAGGTGTTGAAATTTTGCAGAGACTTCACATGTATGAGGTAAAGTGGTGAAGTGAATAGGAATATGTGTTTAATGTAGCATTGTACATCAATTTACGTTTCTGATGTGGCTGGAAAATGGTGATAATGTTTGCCAGGACTTGCTACGCTTCTCTTAACAGGTTACTTTTAGGGATTTTTTTCTTGCTGCTTGAGAAAGTTTTAAATTGTTTTGATTTTTGCTTATGATTTGGAGATTTACCATATGTAATATGCCGTAAGACTGTTGCTAAGATGTCGTTCTTTCATTATTTAATGATAGCTGTGTTTCACTAGATTCAGTTATTGCTTTTAAATAAGAAAATCTTGGAATAAAAGTCTTCTCTGAAATCTCTGCCTCTTCACCTTAGGAGCTAACATCTCCAAAGGCCTCTGACTTTATATGTTAAAGCAAACCAGATTATTCTAGAAAAGACTTTGCCTTTGCAAAAAGGCAAAAAGTAATATTCATGTCTCTTTCATATACAATAAGGAATACAGAAAGGACAAAAATATTGTATTTTTGACAGCTAACCTTTAAGTTTACATGAAAATATCTTTATTCTGGAGTTTTTAAGATATACCCATGCACCTGAATGCATTGAGTGCTGGAGTGAAAATGGGGTTGGAATTTTGCAGAGACAAAGTTTTATAGTACCCACTAATTAGAAGGGAAAGTGACAAGCTAATTATATAATGAAACTTCAACTTGGTTTTCTAACTCAATTAATAAAGATATAATCCTGTTGCTACAGGAAGCCGTGCAGGAGCTGCAGACTCTTCTGTCTCAGGATGTGTATTGTACTGACAGCAGAGGGCGATGGTGGGATCGCCTAGCTCTGAATTTGCATCAGCACTTGAAAAGCACTAAGAAGGTATCTTCACAACTGCATGCTGTAAAGCTGGAAACACTGCAGTTATTGTCTGAAAACATGCTTAAAAATATTTCATATGAGAAGAACAGTGGGGTAGGCACTCCTAAAAATGCGGATATTGGTAGGAATCCCAAGGTCAGGCAACCGGTGTCTCCTAAGAAATTGAATATGCAGCCTACTCTCATTCTTGGTTGGCCTGCTTTTTTCTGTTGCATAGAAGAATACTGTTTGACATGAAGGATTGTATGGAGTTATCAGGCAGCAGCTTCCTTGCTGTTCAACCTTATAAATTTGCCTAATGTGTGAGAAGCAGAGACATTTCTTGCAGTAAACACTTCTGCTTCTGAACCCGAGTCATGATGAGGCCATATCTGGAATGAAAAAACCCAAACATGATCGGAAGGAGGTTTTTAATGTTTTCAAGCAAAAAATTAAAGAGAATTAAGTCCTTGGCTAACTGTTGCCAGTGCGGAGAAGGTTGTTTTCTATATCTGGACCAGTTTTGGTGTGGGATTTCTACTGTAAGGGGTCAAGCAGTAGACAACCCCATTTCTAATCTGTTACTTGTAAACAGCTCTGGCAGTGTTATCAGTCTTTAACAGCAAATTTAAACTATTTCCATGGTCCTACAGGAGAAACTGTAACTGACCACCCTTAGGCTGGTAAAGAATAACATTAATGGTTTTAGATAGCATGTATTACAGGCTATGTTCATCCTGGTCTGTTTAATTCTCTTAGGAAGGCAGAGGAGGGGAGAAGAGGTTTTGAGGTAATCTTAGCTTTTGCTGAAACTTTGCCCTCTTCCCTCTTCCCTTCCAGTAGGACACACACACCAGTACAGTGTGATGGTACAAGCAAAACACATTATTTGTGCAGTGGGTAGACTTGCCAGTCTCAAGTCTGAATGATGCAGTTCAGGCTTTTAGAAACACTGTGTACATGGTGAGCGGTCTTTGAGTTTCCTAAGTGATTAGCTGGCATGTAGCCGAATGAGAGAAAAATAAACATATGGGAATGGCAAGGATTGTGTGCAAGGATTATTCTAAATCTCTGTAGAACTTTCTGGCACCTCTGGAAAGATTTCTGCAGCAGAATATAAAGGAACCAGAGAAAACTGCAAGCTGCAGTACAGGTTATGCCTTTGAATTCCTTGTGAGCCAGCACCAGCTTTTCACAGACTTCCTTTTCAAGAACCACAAGGTGTAGAAGCCACTAACTCATTTTAGGGCTCAGTTGCAGTTCCATGAATTTTCTGTGCAATAAACAGCAGGTGGTAGTTGTATCAGCTGCTGGTCTGCGGATTTGTAGGTACAGATGATTACGTCCAATTTTCCTGTCTGTTAACATACAAAGGAGAAATATTGTCAACGATTGAAAATGAAATTCTGTAGGACTGTTTAGGTCACAGTGAAGTATGGGCAGACTGAAAATCAACTTTTAACTAAAAGACAAAGAAGACCAATCTAATTAAATACACCTAAGATACCTGACTAATTTGGCAATGAAAAATACAGATAAAAAAAAGTTTTAAGTCCAGGAACAGTAGCAGTTGTAGAGTTATTTAAAATAAGCAGAGAATTACTTTTTTTTTCCCTTGGTATTGCTTCCTTGCCTCACTAAGACTATTGGGAACCTGAATTAAAATGCTCGTATTTTGTGTTGCATTTTAATTCTCTTAAGTCTGTTAAAGGAAATAATATCATAGGATGTCAAGCATCTGCAGTTGTCTCTTCTACATCTTGCACCCCCATATCAAGCCTCTTCCAGATTTGGAATTAGGAATTGTACAAAGGAAGAGTTAATCTCAGTTCCTTATTTATAAATCAGAACAAAGTGCCTTCCTCAAGTCACAGAAAGAGTATGTCGGAACCATGATTTGAATTAATTTTTGGAGTCTGTATTTAACCCTGAATGTTCTTCAGTGTAGTAGTGCATTGGTCTAAAATTTGTTCTGTATGTACATTCTTGCACAACTGATCTGGTCCTTCTGTTTCTGTATTACATTCTGTTAAGAAACTGGCTTAAAAATACTAAACTGATTTAGCTTAGAACCAACTCTTTTTTCTGGTCACTTGTGTAGAATTTACACTTCCTTAATGTTATATTGATCAGTACAAATGGAGAGTAATTTCTTTTTACTGTACTAGTGCAAATTTGAATCCAGAAGCCTACTAGTGCAAAATACTACTTACTAGTTAGAACTTCAGTACATAAGTAAGAAAGGTGGCCCTGTCTTATATGCTGTTTTTTACATACACATTTTTGTGCTCCTTAAATCAATTGGTCTTTTGGGCTTAGTAAGAACAGAGAGTTGTGCATAGGTCTTTCTAAATTATTGCTTGTTACCTTGCTCTTTGCTAGGCCATTGAATGCATTAGAAATGGGCTGGCAGACCCATTTGTACGTACTGGGCATCGTCTCTCTCTCTACCAGCGGGCCTTACGAATCAGAGACTCGCCAAGCTGCAAGGGGTTCAGATGCCTGTTTCATGATCTGCCAGTCGTAACTGTGGAGGATGTGACACATGTAAGTAAAATTGCTGGTGGTTTCTGAGAAATAACAACTCACGAGGTCTTTTTTCTTCTGACAAGAAAAAATAACGTGGGTGACTTGTTATGTGCTATGCACCAGCCTTTGACTTATTTGTGCTGCAGGAAGATGAATACAAATGTGTTCCTGAAACAAAAGCCTTTTGTAAACAAATCTTTCTACTTATTTAATAAATGGTAGGCTTCTTAGCTGAAGTTAGTCAGCTGTACACTGATGTAATTTGCATTGCTGTACTGAATACATGTTAGGAATCTGATCAGCTATAAACTCCACTAATTTACCAGCAACACTCTCAGAACCTTTCTGTCTGAGGAGTCTGATCAAATCAGCGCATTGCCTCTGGTGTCTTCAGGCTAAGCATTCTGCGTGTAAGGAGTAATAGTAACCTTAGCATGTTGTCAGCATTAGATTAATGGCTCAAAAATACAGTTTTTTAGTAACCATTGGGAGTTATGTACTCTAAATATGTGCTATGCAAATATGCAATATGATGCACTTGCATCATACTGGAATGGATTTTTTTTAACTCATTTTTTCCCTACTGTTGCAAAGATAATTGTATCTGGGCAAAGTCAGAGCAGAGCCTCACCTTCTCTCTTGGCCTTGTCACCGTGTGTCTCCCTACAGCCCTTCTTTTGCTCAGTCCAGAATCAGTCTCCTCAGTCATCTGTATTCTTTCTTCCTGGTCCTGCATATAGAAAGACTGCATTCCTGTCTGCCCAGCATTTTTGCTAGACTTTTTTTTTCTGAAAAATTTGCCAGTTACAAAAGCTAAACAGAATGATTCCAAGGGAACGGCAGGTTAAATTTTATTCAGTTGATTTTTCGAAACAAGTCTAGTTCTGATTTTA